TAAGGCTAAAGAATGGTGAGGGCCAAGATAAACTAAATGCGGAAAACATAAAATACAGGAACATTTTATAATAGTTTTAAGGGTAGGCTAAATAGTTACTATTGTAATGCTAGAAGTATAAGAAATAAAACAGAGATAACTTTAGAGTACTTGTTGGAATGGAGAATACTGATATTATTGAAATAAATGAGACTTGGTTAGATAAAAGATGTAGACAATTTCGATGACAAAAATGTAATTGAAATACAGAGTTACAGGCTTTTTAACTATCATGTCTCGATTGATAGATCTGTCCTGAAAGCAAAATTGCACCATTGAATTAAAAAAATATATAAAATAGACTTGTAGTCATTTTTTCACAATAAAAAAATCTTCAAAATTGGAATTTATTAAATTAAAAAAATCTTTATTTCATTTACACAAATTTTTTAAATCATTAGTTCTGATTTCGGGTTTACTTCAGAATTCTCCAAACAAAATTCTAAGTGTTTGAGTTTCCTAGGAGGAGTTGTAATAGTTTTGATCAAAATAGCACTAATTTAATCTTGTAACATAAATAAAAATGCAGTTTTATTGAAATTTTAACTAACCACTGTTTCTTAACCTCTGTTGTCATATTGTGATGTAACTGCATATATCTCAGCTCCAAGAAGTCATAGGCTAGCTATCTAAACACATAATGAAAGCTCTTTTTCATTTCTTCTAAACAGTATACGCTAATCAGACAGTGTGCTAACACTCTAGGTAGGGATGGCATGGACACCCTTATCAAAGTAATACAAAAGTTATCCGGAATTTCTTCCCTACAGGTCATCAGAAGCTAGGTATGGAGAGCTACCTAACACACTTCAGTGTATATGCTGCTTTTAAGCTCTTCAGCATGTCCCAAAGTCGAAAACCAGTGAATAGCCAAAACAGAGATTTCATATTTTCATTCATCATCATCTTTCTTCAACAAGCCTAGCATCTACCTAGTTCTTGCAGTAACTATAATTTTATGATCATTTGATAGGTAATAAAGATATAAATAGCGTGAGACGAGCAGCAAGCAGCTGACAGAAGCAAACAGATAATAGCGAAAGAGAATAAAGTTGGTGTAAAGTTAACTACCATAGAAGTGATTGGCCTAACGTTTAATATGTTACAGTGAAACTAACAGGAGAAACAAAGATAAGAAAAATAATTGTATTCTGTCAAATTGTGGTTCTCAGTTAATTGAATCAGCCTGAATGCACTTTGACAAAAGGAGTAGGGGATCTTCAAAAGAAGACCAAACGATTATGGCAACTCATGCCACAATTGTAAGTGAATCACTGAGAGTACTAGTGTGATAGAAAAAGAGAAGATAGTGCGGATTGTCAACTGAAATTCTAAAGTAATTGAATAGGCCTAAGTAGATATTT